ACCATCATCATTTTCTCCCCTCCCCCCCTCCCTTCACCGTGCATAACAAAGCACCTTCGACGATATCGCGACCCGGAACAATGGAGTGGACGAGGCTATTCCGGTTTGAGTTCTGGAGTGCCATTTTTTTCCTGATCCTTATCGTCCAAGACATTGCATAAAAGTTTTCTTGCATCATGAGAAGATTAGCGAGCTTTATGTTGCAATATTTTTCATCTTCCTTTTCTTTTTCTTTCCTGCTTTCGTCTTTTTTCTTTTCTGTTTTCTTCTTTTCCTTTCTCTTTTTCTTGGATTAGAAAAAAAAAATCTTTTTTGTATGTAGCTTTCTTTTTTTTTTTCTATTGTTTAAGTTTCTTTATAATTTAGAATATTTTTTTTAATGTAAGTAATGTACATGTGTGTCTGAAAGTACGTACGTATGTGTCCTTATCTAATAATTTATTTTTTGAAGTTTTAGAAATATCTCTTTTCTCCTCCTTCGTGAGAGAGGAGAAGAGAAGGAGAGAAAGGGGATAGGGCAGAGGGAGAGGACGGGGAGTAAGAGATAGGGATGATACAGGTTTCCCAAAAGTGCTTTCAATCACGATCTATCCATAAGACTTTATTGGCGTCCCAAGATGTTGCGTAATGGAATGCTCTTTCCCTTTCTCCCCCCCCCCCCCCCACTCACTCACCCCACCCCCTCCTTGTAAGCTCAACCCCCATTTCCCAACCCCTCAGTCCACCTGCTCCACCTCTTCTCTCACTCCCACTCCACCTCCCCCTCCCCCTCCCCCTCAACGCTCCACTTACTCCACCTGCTCGCACTCCCACTCCACCTCCCCCTCCCCCTCAACGCTCCACTTACTCCACCTACTCGCACTCCACTTCTCCCCTACCTCACCTCCCCCCCCACCTCCCCCTCAAACTCCCCACCTACTCCATCTATTCCCTCCCTCCCCCCCTCCCCCCCCTCCCCCCACACCTACTTCACCTCTCCCCCCGATATGAATTTCAATATGACGCCGAAAAGTGATAATTCCCCCCCCCCCCCCCATTAGATATTAGTACCGAGTTCGGGCGAGAAAAATCTCCTTTTCCGGGCGTCGCTTCCCCACACTGAGGGCGAGCGATAACATATGGGAAAATCCGCATCGAGGGAACGTACGTAATAAGGCCTGATTTGTGCCACAACCTTAAGGGGGGGGATAAATTATCAAAATTAGAAAATACATTCGTGGTATAAACTTTAGATCCTGCTTTGATATCCGGTCGAAGGAAAATGGCAATTTTTTTTTTTTTTTCTTCTTTTTCTTCTTTTCTTTACCTGAGTTATGGCAAATCGTGGAACCGAGCAATGGCAACTATTACAGAAGGTAAGTTGTGGGGGGGGGGGGGGGCGAGGTTGCATGGGGGGGAGGGGGGCAGAGATCAGGAAGACAGAGTGGGGGACGAGGGGGTAGTAGAAGGGGGGGAGTAGAGAGGGGTGTGACGGGGCGATAGAGGGGGGGGGGACGTGGGACAGCAGAGAGTTGGGGCAGAAGGGGGGGGGTGAGGTAGCAGAAGGGAGAGGGAGACAAAAGGGAAGCAGTAAAGTGTGTTGGGGGGGGGGGGGCGAAGGGGATCAGTCTGCACGAAAAATATTTGGTGGAATAAATAACATACTTTATAGGCTGCTGTTATGAGTTTCGTGGGAAATTCTTATTTGGGATTTTCATGTAGAAGATAGTAATAAGATATGAGTGAGGAAGGAGGGATGTATATTCACACACATATACACGCGCACACAAATACGTACACGTGTATATTACCACCTTTACACACACACAGACACACACACATACATACACACACACACACACACACACACACACACAAACACACACACACACAAACACACACACACACACGCATAAACACACACAAACACACACACACACGCACAAACACACACACACAAAACACACACACACACAAACACACACACACACACACAAACACACAAACACACACACAAACACACAGACTTTGAATACATAGGCCACATCCCCAGAGAGAGCATTTATGACCAATCACCCCCCCCCCCCCCCGTATGCTGAGGGACAAAAATCGTATCTTTTATAACTTCTCTCCCCGTGGACAGGGAAAGTTCAACCATACGTCTTGAGGAAAGGAATTGCTTGCTATCCGCGGAGTCAGCACATCTTGGCAGGAAAGCTGAGGCGGGGGAGGGGGGAAAAGGGTAGGGAGAGAGAGGGAGAAGCGAGTAAGTGAAAGGGGGCAGGAGAGAAGAAGAACTGGGGGGGGGGATGGGAGAAGAAGAGGTAGATAGAAGAAGAGAGGAAGATAGAAACGGAGAGAAGAAGGGAAGGGGAGGGGGGGGGTAAGAGAGAGGAGGGGTATAGGGAGAAAAGGAGAGGAAGAGGGAAAGGGTGCAGGACTTAAAAAGAGGGGAAAAACTCAGGAGAAAGGGAGAAAGGGGGGGGGGACAGAGGGGAGGAGAGAGAGAAAGGGATTGATTGCAGCAAAGAAGATGGGAGGAGCTAGTAAGAGACAGAAAAAGGGACCAGGAGTATGGGAGATTGAGAGCAGCAGGGAGCAGGAGACGGAGAGAGAGCGAGAGAGAGAGAGAGAGAGAGAGAGAGAGAGAGAGAGAGAGAGAGAGAGAGAGAGAGAGAGAGAGAGAGAGAGAGACAGACAGACAGAGAGACAGAGAGAGAGCGAGAGAGAGAGAGAGAGAGAGAGAGAGAGAGAGAGAGAGAGAGAGACAGACAGACAGACAGACAGAGAGCGAGAGAGAGAGAGAGAGAGAGAGAGAGAGAGAGAGAGAGAGAGAGAGAGAGAGAGGGGGGGGGGGGGAGAGAAAGAGAGAAGAGAGCGAGAGAGAGAGAGGGGGACGGGAGAAACAGTGAGACAAAGGTAAGAAGGGAATGTAAGGTGTACGAGAAAAGAGAGAGACAGGAGAATAGGAAACAGACGATGGGAAGGGATGATAAGTGAGGAGGAGAAGAAGAAGGAGGAGGTGGAGGAGGGGGAGGAGGAGAAGAAGAAGGAGGAGGAGAAGAAAAAGAAGATGAAGAAGAAGAAGAAGAAGAAGAAGAAGAAGAAGAAGAAGAAGAAGAAGAAGAAGAAGAAGGAGAAGGACGAGGAGAAGAAGAAGGAGGAGGAGGAGAAGAAAAAGAAGATGAAGAAGAAGAAAAAAGAAGAAGAAGAAGAAGAAGAAGAAGAAGAAGAAGAAGAAGAAGAAGAAGAAGAAGAAGAAGAAGAAGAAGAAGAAGAAGAGGAAGAAGAAGAAGAAGGAGGAGAAGGAGGAGGAGAAGAAGAAGAAGAAGAAGAAGAAGAAGAAGAAGAAGAAGAAGAAGAAGAAGAAGAAGAAGAAGAAGAAGAAGGAGGAGGAGGAGGAGGGGGAGGAGGAGGAGAAGAAGAAGAAGAAGAAGAAGAAGAAGGAGGAGGAGAAGAAGAGGAAGAAGAAGAAGAAGAAGAAGAAGAAGAAGAAGAAGAAGG